ATAAACCTGGAAAGTCTTTCAGGCGTTAATGGGATGCCTCCCAAGGCACATATTTCGCGAGAAACTTTTTCATTCAACCAGCGACCCTAGGACATTATTTTTAATATTTTCTCCCACGCTTATCTCGTGTTGAAAAAATTATAACTTTACCTTGCCGAGCACTATAACCTGTAGAATTTCTACGCTAGCTATAACAAAAATAACTCTATCAAGTACTTAAGCACACTTGAAACGATGAAACAAAACCACCTGTAGGTTCGAGTCCAGAGTTATTTTCGTAAGTCGATACTGAGTGACAAATAGCGTATTCTGCCGAATAAGACAGAGCCTTGTCGCTTTGTTTACTTTGCTAATACATTAAGACCTATGTGTTTCACCTTCAAGGAATTTCGGTTTACATTGGCGACATAATTCCGCCATTTTGACCTTAGTCCCTCGCTCGTGAGATTAGATTTTCTGGAGTGGCATCAGCATTTGATAAAATGGAATTTACAGGGAGCTGAGAGTTTTTACTGATTACTCGAGTAATGAGTGAGTGGAGCTCTTTTATTAAGGTCTCTGGAGATAAGCTTTTGTTTTCTGCACATTTGCGAGATGGAGGTTGACGCGAGGGCTAAATGTAATTAAAAATTCCCGCCGAGTTTTTGTTCCATTTACCATGTTGTACGCGGCATAATTAATAAACTTTAATATATTAAAGTGTGAATGTTGGGGTTTAAATTAAAACAACTTAGGTTAATTCTCGAGTGTATTATAGTTAGTCTAACTCAAATAAATTACTAATACCATATTACGGTCGTGTGTGGGAGTAACACGCCGGAGTATTTATAATATCACAATATATTATGATAAAGTACGTGTAATTACAAGCTTACAAGAATACTTCGTGTACTTGTAACCTGTTAATCGCGTTGGATTTCGAATTTGTTAAACGTGTAATTCTCGATATCCACCTGGTTTTTGAATTCACACTTTTCTATTTTGCTGCTGGGGCTCCCTGTGGTCTTCAGCCAGTGCATCCTGTAAAGACAGTGGAAATTACGAGAAAACTAATTACAAAGTCCCCGAGTTTAATTTGCGCGCTGGTGTCCGCTGTAATGAATCGTGGTTCGTATTCATTACGAGTTGCTAGGTTTCTCTGTGACAGTGGTATTAAACCGTTGCTGAATAAAGTTTTACATTTACTTTAAATTTCGAATCTATTCGAACTAAGTTTCCAAGTTTAGGGCAACTGGTAACTGTTAAACGAGTTTCACTGCAGGGTGTTGTCAAGCCTTTGATTGCATTTTTTGTCTGCAAAATTGTTGCCCATGTCACAGGCCCCGATTTTAAACAGTAAATTAAACTTTTTTTTTCATGTCAAAATATTTTTTGTGGTCCCTTTTTCCAAGGCATGTGAATAACTTCCAACATTGTTTCAAGTCCATAATTATCTGTATCTTTATGAAGTGTTTACTTTGGCTTCCATCAACTCGTATGATTATCGATCTTCATATTTATTTTTACCGAGTGATTTTATAATCAGCGATTTACGACTCTAATACTTCAAAGAAGTTTCTCTTCACTATTATCTCTATATATTATAGCTAGATCAAAATACTAACAGTTATTTTTAGACGACGATGGAAAATTCACTTTTTTTTTGAATATATACATATATTATGTATATTTAGGTGTATCTAATCTAGTTTATATAAAAAAATAGTACCGAAGTCTTCAAAAGCATTTTATTTAGTCGAGAGATTTAGATAAGTCTTTACAGCATTAACTTTGCCATGCAATACAAAAATAATTATTATTGTTTTTTACGTAGGGCAACAACTCCTCATGTTGAAGTCGATACTAACTTATTTTTTAGTTTTTTTTTTATATTTTGGTAGTTGGCACGTTCACACGGTTGCTGGTCTTTTGCGGATTTAGGAAGGATTGAGCCTCCGGTAACCTCTCACACATAGCGTAATACTACTCTGTGGTAGATTCGCGCCTGTTGTATTTTAAGGCTCATTCGTAACGAAGCATTGTTCTCCCAGACTTAAATGCCAAATTAGAATAGTTTTATGGAACTTACATAGCTTCGACTTTGTCAATCGGGCCCTGCATTTGTCCTAGCACTGTGCCTGCCGAAGTATTCTTGCACCAGCCTCGAAGGCCCAGCTTTTCAGCTTGCTCTTTTGTGTACTGACGACAAAAACAATCATTGTTTTAGTTAATTCTTTTAACAACTTTTTGTTGAATAAGGGTGTAAATAGCTGTCGATGTCGGCGTCACTTTATAAGCTGACCAAGTCAAAAAATTTGTTAGGCCTGGCGCGCTTAAGTCAAATGGTCAACGTAAGGCCTCAGCCGCACTAGGGCGGAACCGCGGCGGTTTAATTCATCAAACCCCAAGTGAACGCCGGCTTTCGTGAACGCGAAATGTTAAGGGGTTAACCTTGATCAAGGACCCGAAGTTGTAAAACCAATCACTAAGTTTTTAATCGGCCAACCAATGAGGCACTCTAAGGTATTAAGTTCAAATTTAATTACAGGTTAATTTATGAAAAATTGCTGTAAGTACACATTTACACATATACAAAAAATACGAACTCATGTACGTGTCAAGAGACGATCTCCGGCCACCGCAAGCGCGGGTCTGCGGACGGCGAGTAAGGGTAGCTCGCCGCCCGACCAGAACCAGACTCGAGCGTACTCAAAGAGCTAATAGACCACCACAGACGGGGCCTTATAGGGCTGATGTTCAGCCGGGGTTGCGGGACAAGCGCAATGAGGCACCGCGACCTCGGCCCAGAGCATGAGAAAGACGGGGGAGTTTTTAGTCAGTAAGAGTATAACACTCCCTCCCGCCCCACCCTGGTCGTAAGAAGTCATTTAATGATTTTCCCCACATAAAAATAATATATAATAATAAACTAAAAGTATATATACTTAAACCACAACACAAAATTTAAGTCAATAAGGTACTTATTTGTATTGGTTAAGATTCAAAGGGAGTCTTCATCATATGCAAATCATAACAACAAAAGCTAGTTATTTTTTTTTTACGTGTAAAAAAATGGACAGTTAAACGAACAGACATAAAAAAAATTAATTAGTTCAATATAGTTAAATATCTTATATGTACCAGTTGATTATAAGAATATTTGGCTGACGGTTGGCGCGGTAGCTGGGCAACTGGCTGCCACGTAGCGTGTCGCGGGTTCGAGTCCTGCACGGAACACTACTGTGTGATCCGCAAATTGTTATTTCAGGTCTGGGTGTGTTGTGTATGTGAAATTGTATGTTTGTAAAGGTACCTACGACACGGTAGAAAATCCTAGAGTGGGGCAAAGTTTTATTTAAAAAATTAGTAATAATATGGGATTGAACACAAAAGTAAATACCTTGTAAATAAAATACACCTAAAGAAAGCATTTGAATGCTGACTGGATACTTGAAGGTAAACTCTCCAGACCAGAGGGTGGAAGCTGACTTGTTAATCAGTTTAAGAGTTAATTAACTACAAAATGCAAAGCTCCAGATAGAAGAAGAATAGGTACCTACATAAAATGTGATTACAGTCAGTGTACTAAATTTCATTTAAGACCAAAATGTAAAACTTCATGTGCCGGCCGCCATTAGAAATTATCTTGTTTCATAAACTTACAAATAAAATTAAATTTTTACTTTAACTTTTGTGGTATAATTCGAACATCTTCTGAGAACACACAAGAGCATGTACTGACGTGTCTTCTTTGTAGTGCAGAGGTTTTTAGACACTATATAAATTTAAAACAAACTAGTGTAGTGTTGTGCGACAGGTTGGTGCATGACTGAGCTCAATGTGGCTTACCAGCTTCATTTTTATGTTTTCTTTTTAGAGCATGAATAATGTATCTATAGTTCTATACATCATAGACTTAAACAGATAATTATTACGAATGTACACAAGTAGCTAAGACTAACATAATAGCGAATCATATGAGACTATTAGTCACATATGTTAGCAAAATACATTAGATAATGTGGTTACTGTGCTGATTTTATTTTTTTATATGTTGTGGGTCGGCAAACAGGCATACGAATTACCGGGTGTTAAGCAACGAGTGCCACCCATGGACACTCGTACGTAATACTGTACTAAAGGGGTTACTACAAGTGCGTTGCCGGCCTCTAGGGAGTTATAGATAGGAGATTTGAAGATTTGTCTAATTACGGTACACAACAAGTTTATAATCTAGCTTTCAAAAGTATCAATAAATTAGAAAATGTAATATTTAACAAACCTTTCGGAAGAAAACTCCTTGGACCCGGCCAAATACTTCAAAGTCGACCGACCTGAAATTCATTGCGGCTACAGTTGCGAAATTGCTACGAAAAGTAGCGGTCACAGCTGTTAGGACTAAAACACGTAACATTTATTTAAATTTAACAAATTTTAAATATCTCACGATGCAGTATTTTGAATTTAGCGTTGCGATATGAAAGCAGAGAAAATCGCTTTTCTGTTTTCTGCAACGCTGACATTTACGTTCCTTTTATACATCAATCTTTCTTTTTTGTCTTTTTTACTGATATAAGTCACAACATTATAACAATAAATTCCAATAAATATAATTCAAATCATATGCAATAGCCGGCTATAAAACTTTAGTATCTAATTGTACCAGTTAAGTTTTTAAAAGTTGATTAATTTCTTTTAATAGTAAGACAATAAGTATGTACCTACCTAATTACAACGTGAAACGAATCGTGTTATGAAATTGCTTGAATGTTCGCCAAAACGTTACACGCTATGCAAAATTTTCATGACAATTTCAAAAATGGTTGTACATTTAGTATGAAGTCTTGATATATTATTTTTGGTCACTAAATAATTTCTTTAAATACAATAACTGACAATAAGTCAATGGAAATTGGTGGACATTTTGCGATATTATGGCCAAATATTACATTATTACTTAGGGAATCCGAGTGAACGGAACGGGCGCACCTTCACGAGGTAATGTCAAAATCATTGTTATTATCTGTCAGTGTCAACTTGCTCAAATCGTCAGACTCAGTGGTGAGCCCAATTTGTTTGTTTTCTTGAATTTCCAATTAGTTTCTCGAGTAATTGTAACTCTTTATATCTATTACAGAAGCCTACGAGTGTGTTAAATAATTCACTTCGAATAAAACATGGCTTTCTTCAACTGCGGCAGGTATGTTGACAAATTATGTAACAAGGGTTATGGTTGGTGTTGAGTGTTGGCATTTGCAAACTAGTTGTTCTTAACTTGAATTGTTGTTGCAGATTGGGCAGCCGTTCACTGCTAGCAAGCATAAATAAGGTACCTACGGTGCTTGGGTCCGCAAGTTACGCGCAAGCTGCTGCTAGTGCTCCAAAAATTGTGTACAAGAAATTTGAACCACCCCAGATTGAGCACCATGACGATAGGAACGCTCGTCTCAAGAGGCCGATGTCTCCCCATCTCAGTATCTATGCTCCACAGCTGACCAGTATATTGTCGGTTACCCATAGAGCTACAGGTATGTATCTATATTTTTTGTTTTGTGAATTAACAATTTATAAAACAATACATTTCAATTAAAGATCACATGATCATATAATTGTTGCTTTGCTAAATATCTTGGGTTAAAGTTGGGCATGAAAACTTAATTTCTATGTCATGTTTTATAATACAATTTATTTGCATTATCTTATTATCTTTTATACTTTTAAGAGAGTATTGTTAAAATGTTTAAAAAATATAAAATAAGGGTACAACTTTTTTTCAAAGAAATAAAATTCAAATTAGAAAAAATGCAAAACTAAAAATATTAAAGTAGCGATTACTTTTTTAAGACTTATTCAATATGTTATGTGAAAATAATGATCTGGTTGATGTTATATAAACAATCATTGTTATAGGAATCATCTTGTCGGGTTACTTTGGAGCACTGGGCATTGGAGCATTAGTATTGCCACATGACATCTCACACTATATTGCCATTATCGAGAACCTCAACTTGTCTCCAGCAACCTTATTTGTTGCAAAGTTCTTGCTTGCTGCACCAGTCGGCTATCATTTTGCTAATGGAATCAGACATCTTGTATGGGACATGGCTAAGGGACTTACCATCAAAGAAGTTTACTCCTCTGGCTATGCCATGCTCGGCCTCACTGTTGCAATCACTGTGTTATTAGCATCGTTATAATCATTTCTTTAGAGCCAAAATAAAAAGTGAAAATTTTTCGGTATTATTTATTTATTGTCAATATAAGTGATGTAATAAAAGTTATTTAATCAGACTTGTTTTTGAGACCTCCTTCTTCTGGTTAGTATTTCAAAGAACCATTTTAATTGTTAATAATTTTGAAAGTTAATACCCATTGAAAAGGTATTCAAAAGATGTAAAATAGTTCTTTATTTTATTCAGTTAGTTAACTTAAACCCTAAAGCCCTTAATAAAGGGTAAGTATCTTATGATAAACTAAGCAACACCACAATTAGAAATGACGTCATGGATCTGCTTGAACTTCTCAAAGTCTAATTTCTCTGTTGTAGCTAAACCAGTGGCGGCATTCTGAAACAATGTTGTATTTACAGTTGAATAATAATATGGAACATTGTTTAATGTTTTAGCCAATGAACAGTTGGTTTGAATGGAAACTCACATTGAAAATGACATTATTGTTTTTGAGGAATTCTCCATAAATGTTGAACAGATCTTTTCTGGTGTCTAGTAACTGGGCTAGACTGAGTGGTGTATGGGCGATAGAGACGTCCGATAAGTAGTCTTTAGCGGCCATCCAAGTGCGTGAGGGTGCCATCGCGATGTTGCAGGTACTGTATTGTGCGAGGGCGTCCCGTCCGCCAGATTCACGGTTAAGACAGAGTAATTCGTACTCTGATGCGTCGAAGCTTGGGAGATCAGCGCCTGGAGATAAAAATCTGATGTAGAATTCATACAAAATGTTCATGCTTGTGTAGGCCTATGTCAAAGACCTATAGAATAAGATCGTTCATAGGTAAATGTAATATCTATACTAGTTAGGTACCTAATGAATTATGTGGGTAGTAAGTAGTCGTATTCAATATATACAATGGTTCGCTTTGTTCTATTGTAAGGCCTAGTGATGTAGGCTAAAATGTTATAGTCTAAGAGCTAGTGACAGATTTTCATGACCAACTTCCATTATCGACAATTCGTGAAATGCATTAGGTATTTATACAATGAAAACTCGCAAACGTCAGAGTCACAGCTGGTGACTCCGTGGGTGGGGTGGGCGTTGGCAACCTCCTACACATGGAGACTAAATAAGTATTTAAGTGCAGTCATTTCCTCTTATTTGAAAATTTGACAGTTTATAATCTAGTATTTTGAAATAAAATACGGTGTACGTCTGTTTTCTGCTTGAACACGAATTTTAATTTCAATTTTAATTTCTATTGATTCTTAAACATAAAAAAAAAAAACGTGGTAATCTGATCATTTATACGGGGCGGGCAGCTAGTTATAAATTAAATTAATGTGAGCTCGCTGGCTCTCAGTGAAAAGTTTTTCACATGGTGTCTTAAAATGTGTTTACGCAACAGTCTCGATCGCCAGAATCTTATTAGCTGAAGACTGATCCCTTGACTTATAGCTGGCTCCTGGACTATAACGTGTAAGTATTACCTACCTATTTAACAACTACTTACTGTTTAATATTACAACTACTGCGCAAATAGTGCACGTAGAAAGATTACAAATCTGGTCAATACATCGTTTTGAATCGATTATGAACTTATATAGGTATGTATAAGGGGACTTATGAGATTATATGAATACCTAATTAATTGACAACAGATATAATTTCTTACATTGATTGTAATGTAAGACATCTCTTATGATAGATAGCCTTTCAACTTTGGACTAGGTACTTGGCTAGGTATAAATTAGTTAAGTAGGTACCTACCTACTTTCAAGTGATGTAACTTCAAGGAAAACCGGTAGGTACCTACCAATTGCGAACTCCCATTTATTGAAACCTGTTTTTGCGGTAAACGAAACCCATTAACTTGAACAATTCGTTTTGTAAGTACTTACTTGAAACAAATGCTACGTCACCGCGGTTTTCTTGAAGGCATTTCAGTGGGCTGTCGTCTCCTGTACATTGTTTGCGAAGTCTCGTTACGTCATCCCCTGAAACAATGCGGACATGAAATTGGAAGGTTTCTGGTTAGTTGATTTCTTTGTGTGAATTAATGGGTCCGGTGAATATGTAAGCAGGTACCTACTCGAGATTCGAGAATCATCGTGTTGTGATTATATTATTTATCTGAAACGCTTTATCTATATAGATAGGTATTACATATTTTCTTTGCTCTTTACGGCTTTGACGGCATGGTCTGAGTGAGATAAATATTATATAGTGGTAACGCTTTAATTGTACTCGGGAATCACACTAGATATCTATCTAGTTATTGGTGATACAGCAAAATAAATTGTCAGTTTGTTCTGTATTCTGAGATTGTCAAGTAGTTTTTGAGTTTATGGCATTCGCACCAGACATGCAAAAAGACACTACTATTGAAAATCAAACTTAAGTAAGTTTCATTTTTTTCTTTGAATTTGCTTTGACAAACATTCCTATACGTCACACCCATACCCATTTGTGATGTAACAACCATTTGTGGATTACACAGAGTAGTTCCGTGTGGTTATCGAACCAACGTACGTTGCACGCCAGCAGATTTCCCAACCGCGCAGTTTCTGCGCAAAAGTTTTATCCATTTTTACAAAATGAGAATGAGTAGCAAGTAGCATGTATCTATAAAAATAAATCAGAACTTGAAATAAATAAAAAGCAATAAATGTTTACTGGCCATTTGCAGTGAACTAACGATAGTGACCTAGTTATTCGGACATAGGTACCTCTGGGATTGTTTTCCGGCTTGTCGACTCCAGGCAAACATGAGCCCTCGCTGAAGAAATCGGCCAAGTTTTTGATACACTGTCGGAACAAAACATAACATGCAGTAAGTACCTACGAATTTATGTAGAAGTAGGCAATAAGTAGCAAGAAATGTTACATGCTTCCTTGACCTGGTTGTACTTAGGTACCAACAAGAGTCGATCTAGTATCAATATTAATTATGAGTATTACGAAATATTGCGTTTACGGAATATGAAAATAAAGACTGACCTGACCACTAGAAATTACTTTCTTGTTGATGAGATAATAAAGAGGAGCGTCTAAGCCACTGAATGTACCGTATCTGTTGTGACAAGACCTGAAAATGTAAAAAAGTGATAAAAAAATAGTTGCTGTGCTTGTTAGTATACCTGACCAATCGTACAAACGTATTAACAAACAAACATATTTGAAGATTTTCTTTACGTACTTATGAAAGTATTGTAAACCCCAAAAGCTAGATATCTAAGAATCAACGCTAACCCAAAAAGTCGTTGTTACAAAGTTAAATGAAAATGAAATGCTCATTAAAACTTGTTCCAGAATGTTCGGAAAGAATTTAGATCGAATTCGTTGGTCCTAAAACAGTAGGGATTCTGAGTTTCAATAAGCTGGCGTGTTGTGATTTGAGATCGACCTGTAGGTTCGGAACGGAGAGAACATTTCGTCGAAGCAACTAGGTACAATAAACTGGTATTGACGGAATTACTTTGTGTATTGGACCGTACTTAGTTACGTAGGAACTGCTTAATATTTTTTTCTGGAAGCTGAAGAGTTTGTTAGGCGATCTTGTAAGTTTGATCGAGATAGTTTGTTGATTGATTTGCGTTGTTCGTTGATTAGAGAGGTGTTCATTTCTTCTCTAGTAGGTATGGTATAAATAAGTTATTAAATCTTCTGTGTTTAATAAGTTAAGGATCTAGTGAGTATTTATTCCTTAACTTATTTAGTTTTTGCCCAGTTTGATGATAGGTATGTGCTTCATTCCGATAAACTCACCTACGTATATCTACATAGCTACTAAAGTAGCCCTTACCACGAATCGAACAGACATTTCAGTAAGTATTCTAATCAAACTGGGCGAAATCATTAAAATCTCTCTTTATGGTTGATCTAAAAGGTGAGTGAACGTCCTTATTGATCAACATTGCGTACCAATTTATAATTCACTTCAAAGTAAGGCCCTACAAAAACGTCACTAATTTTGCAAGTCATTGTACTTTAATCAATTTCTTACCTCTTCCCTCTCAAGTCTTGGATGTTATTGAACTGTGTATTCTTCTTAACTACTGCAACAGCGTAGTTTGGTGTTTTGGCTTCACCGTAAACCTCATGGAAGACTGGGTGTAAATTGTATTTGTTGGCAGCTGATGCTACTCTCATATCGTCCACGCTTGCCAAGTCTGAACCGTTGTCTTGTACCTGTTTAAGTATTTTGAATAACGATACTGCACTTTTGAAGTTTTCTTAAGTAACTAAGTACCTATCAACATGCTTGCTTTAAACTTCAAAATTGCAGCTATTAAATATGCATACCTACCTAGTTAAGTAGTGTGTGTGGTTCGGAAGTTATATATTTATTAATTTTAGGAACTCTGAACTAGTATTTTCTAATCAAATGTGAATAAGTATCTGTAAATTAACCGGTAGATTAACCGCTATTGCGGTTGGTGAAACTAGGTGTTCATAGTGTGCCTACTGCCTTCATTTTTATTTAACCTATAATATTTCTGTGGCTAAGATCTACAATGCCAAGATGTTTTAATAAATAAATAAATTGACACGGCAATTTAAAGCATTTCGAATATTGGTAAACACTTTACGCTACTTCAAATAAATTCTTAAAATTTGTAATAACCACGAAACTGAGAAGTAAAACCAACTCGCGAACCCAACAAAGTTTTGATTCAAAGATAGGGAACACAATTCAAAGATTCCTATTCAGAGTCATTCCACGAATAATTCGAACATAACCGAACGAAGTTCGCGGGAAAGCGGAAATTAAAATCAATGAAGCCCAAATATTTTCAAACATAACAATCGTTACGGCTAAACTTTGCGAGAAACGATCCAATTATAAAATTTAAATTTAACTTTGAGTATGAATGAAGCAAGCTTACATTTACAGCGCAAACTAGAAAACGATTTGTGTGTGTGGCAATAATTAGGTAGGTACCTATAAAACTATAATGTATAAAGTTTTCCTAATACTGAGATTCGACACAGAAACAAATAGTACCAAAATACAGTAAGAATGTTTAAATTGGTAGAGGTACTCATACAAAAATACGCGTTTTATACAAAATCTACCAGAAAAGCTCTTAAAAGCTAAAAATACTTACGCTCTTCAGGCAGTCAGCTTCAGAAGCCTCTTGAACGCAATCAAGACGCGGCCGAATGTCCCGGCTGAACGCAAACACAGACATCATGTGACATTTTGCGAGGGCTACGTTTGACGTCACGCATAACCTGTGGGAAGAGTGGGAAAATGAGCGCTATTTTAGCACTTGTGTAGGGCTAAAGTAGCGCGAGGTCCTGTTTGTGCAATAAAGAATTTCCTATTGCATTTATTATACTTAGTATAGGACAGGATACGAGCAAAAGGATCGTTTATTATTATATCATGGATGCCCGCAACACCAGAGGAATCACGAGCCTGTTGCCGGCCTTTTGGTGAATAGAACTGAGGGATTAGGTTAGGTCGTCGTTAACCCCAGTTACACGGGAAACCGGCGTAAAACAACGTAAGCGTTGAGTGAAGTGTAATGCCAAGGTATCACTCCGGTCCAGCCACCAAATTCCTGCCGAGGCATATTTTACCCACACTCTTTCTTTCATCATCATAGCTAGTTACTACTTAAAAAACAGGACCACACGATACATTAGCGCTACCTGGTGAATGCAAAAATGTTGCTTGAATAATTTAGCAAGAACTTCGAACTTCTTCACGTTCATACTTCAAGTTCGTACCTACCGACTACCTATACATTACAAGCGCGCAGATTGATATGACAGTAAAATAAAGAATAAAAGAACTAATTTACCCAGTTTTGTAGTTTTCGCGAAATGAGTAAAATTTTCATTAAATAGGTAAATCAGAAAACAAAATTGTATTTTACAGAATACTATCAGTTCTGAAGTTTCTCTCTTCATATTTTTCGATTTAACTTGTTAAAATTTAATATGGGTAAGGGCGTAATAAATGTTCTATTTCAAAGCTATTTCTTATAAGATTCATAGAAAATTATCGTTTTTAACATGTATGTAGGTACATAAGTACTTTATTTTTGGTACCTATTCCTATGGTTTTATACGTTGGAATAATTTCTTTTTGACTAAGGAAAATACCTAATTTTGTGGATAAAAAAATTCAGGAAAGTATAGGCCCTCAAGGCCACTTCTACAACGTCTATTTATGCAGATAGGTAGGTACGTCAAAATATTATTAACCATCAATTTTTGAGACATATTGGAGCAAGTTTTGTCATAAGTATTTGATTCTAATTCGCTCCAGCAACTTATCTGTATAAGCGAATTCATAGCTTACAGCTCATGTAAGCAAATGGCAAAAGATTTTTCGCTTTGGTTCGCAAAGTCAATGCCAACCACACTTTGAGGTTATTTGACCGACTTTTAAAATGGTTGATCCAGTTAGGCATTATCGCTGAATTTAAAGGATTTGCCCTTATGATGATTTATGATTTTTTATGTGAGGTATGGTATGGTATATGGTTTATTTCTATTCTGGTCTAAAATAATATGTAGTGTTATTGTGTGATACTGGCTAAAATTATTAATATTTGAAAATAACGGCTTTCTTACGTGAATTAACCGAAATAAGCTCTGCTAGTTTCAAGCCACAAATCACAATATATAGTGTGTCTTACGATTGTATAGTTACTGTTCAAAAATTATTTCTTTATTTATTTCAGGAAATATAGGCAAATTGTGACAAGGTAACAGGCATATAATACTACTGTCTATCCTGTCCTTAAAAACATAACATTTAGATACTTAAATATTTTATGTTTATAGACCTTAATAATAGCATTTTCAATAACGAACCTAGAAACATCTACATATTAAATAGTCCTATAGTAATATGAAGTTTACAACTACTATCACTTAGAACATTATACACCCAAACCACACCATTTATAGATGCCATACATTTCACCCCTCAATAATGCCTTCGGGGACACGTGACACTATGCATAAATAATACGCCATGTATGCACATTCTATTTATAATGACGTAGTTTACGCGTTTGAGGTCACGCATTCTATGTACAAGCCTGCCGTAGGTCAGTGTGTCAAATGTCTTTCACAGATGTAGGCCGGGCTTTCAGCTCATGAGGCCGGGATTAAAAGGTAGCTCTAGGCTGAATTTCTTGTTTGAATATTGCTATGTGGATACTGTGGGTAGTGTATCGCTTTTTTGTGCTTATGGGAGTGAACGTTGAATTACCATTGTATCCAACGAAAGTTGATTGCTTTTGGATGGATATTTCTGCCTTTTACGTAAATGTGTTGGGGTTTTGTTTAATGTCGATGTAGTTTTTGGGTCTCAATACTGACGATGTACAACATTTCACCTTGTCAGCCTTTAAGTGACTTCTGCTGAGCAAATGCCTCTTCTCACACGGAGAAGGTTTGAGTATTATTCACTGGGTATTCTTGCTCAGAGCCGATTGGCGATTTCAAACTTATAATTAGAAATTATAAGTCCATGTTTACTCACAGTGTTATCCGTTACCGTTTGTAATTGGTGTCTATATAATTATAGAAAGTACATATAAATTGGAAAAGGGCACATTGGTTCTTGCCAGGTTACGAAACCCGCACCCTCATGTATGAGAAGCGGGCGTCTTACCCTCGGGGCTACCACTACATGTAAAATAGCCATTGAGAATGCAGTACTTAATTTTTATTAAACTCTATCTAAAACTGTTCTAAGATGGATTGAATAGGTTCTTGCTTAAGTACTATAAAATGATTCATTGCTGGAATAATGCCCGTTATCTAACGTCCATTTATCAAAAGTTTATTCATTAGAGTTATCGGTTCGATTAAACTAGAAACTGCACTTTGAAGCATACTCTGCTAAGATAAACCCCAATTAAAGTTATGATGAAACTTATACTTAAATGCATTTAAGCTACTTATTAATAATTAATTTATTAAGATTGTGGAAACTTCTATTAAAAATGTTGATAAAAGGGCTTTGAACAAAAAAATCTTTTCAGTAATATTTCGTTCACACATAACAAATATACAGGTTACTGAAATCACATAAAATACCAATTCACATTCTGATAGGATGATCTGACTTACAACGCGTAAAGCCGTTCAATAAATATGGATTATATAGGATACAGAAATACCATTTGGATATTTACCTGACGATCAGTTCGGGCGGTCCGTGGCCTCTCTCGATTACCTCGGTGTAGTTAGCTTTGTTCAAGTAATCCATCGGCTTTATAGGGATGTTGTCGGCGACGTGGTATATCTTGTCCGACAACCCTAGCACTTCGGTGAACCAACCCGGCCGCGTAGTAGCGCCTGTATAGGGTTGATACGGGCTTAATTTGTAGATTTATTATACAGTATTTTTTATGGGCGATAAATTATTTTGTATAAGGTGCTTCGAAGCTACCTTTTACCTTTGATATTCTCTTGATTCCTAATACATTATTTTCACTTAGGTTTTTTGATACTTTTTCTGGCCTTGCTCATTTGAAAAACTTATTTCATTAAGATTCGGATTTAGAGATGCTTATTGATCTCATTATTTTTGGCACTATAAAAAGTTTTAGTTATAAATAGAGTGGTGTGAGGTTTTGCTAAAGGACAAAATGGCGTTTGATTTATTCAAAAGTTACAAATCTAAATGTATCCTTTAGATACCTACTGAAATTGTGAAGCGAGGGAAATCAAGATAAAACTTTTTGTTCGCTAATCCGATTATAATTTTTTGTTCTTAATTTTTCCACTTGACAAAAATCTTTTTATGTTGTACTTTATACAGTTCTACGGGTAGGGCTTTAGATAAATTGTTTTAAGTGGTCAGTTGTGTAAATATTTAAGGACTGTGTTCTATAAAATAATTTAAGCATATCTATTAATAACTTACCAAATTGAGACAACTGTCTAATCTTCTCTCTCAAAGGCGACAGCTGCGCCAGAACATCATTATGTCCTATAAGTCCTTGCCAGGGTCTGGCTGCCCAGGTACATGCTTTATCCTTAACAGAAACCTTCGAACCATCGACACAGAGGTAGCTGTACCCATCGGGGTCTTGTTCAGCAGTGCCAGCTGGGATTTTGCCATGTGGAAGCTAAAATATAAAGCATACCTGAATTACTTCTTGTAAATCTTTTTTCTACAGATGATTCAGAGATGATGGTTCGAGTTTGAGCCTTTGAATGCCTCTGCTACATATAACCTACGTGGCGTTTAATGTGTACGCACGGAGTAAAAACAAACTTTGTTCTTACTCCGTGTGTGTACGTATACAAAATGTTTCATTCTTAAATTAATTGCTTCAATTTAAGAATGAAACATTTTGCAAGGATATGGTATAGGGAATCTTTTGCGTGAAATAAAATAGAAACCTTGATTATCAACGACTTTGTCTAATGAAACATGCCTCATTATTGTCACAAGTTTTGTCTTCTAATACTTTCATTATATTTGTAATGGTATATATGTGGACTGTAATTTAATAATATTACGTATCGTTCCAGAAAATACACATATTGTGTGGGTTAACCTAATAAAAAGATTGCTTTTGCCAGATAAACAAAACGTACACAATAGTCTTTGTATAAAGGACAATCATATTGTCATCAACATCAACTAAATGTAAACCTTTACAACCTTTGAAAGGGAAAACATAATACGAGAATATACAAGCCGTATTTCTAAATAGAAACTTAATATTGGCAAAAGGAAACCCATCAAATCATATCCTATGTACTTTACCGTGTATCAATCTTTTTGGTTAGGTATATGTATTAGCAGTATTGGAAAAACATTTAGCAGAAAAAAACAGATATGGGTTTGGAACGATATCGTTTTGAACAAATGACTAACGAAACCGAGAGTGTGAGGTCACTGCATTTTTGACTCTCATTTATTTAAAAAAAAATATTAAGAAGGAAAATTACATCTACATGTTGTATAAGAATGGGTATTGTCTACTTAAATCTACAGGGATACCGATGAACCTTCGCTGCAGTGTACCAACACATCCCATTCCCAACATCAATTTAGATTAAGTCTAGAAACGTGTATACAGTTAAAAACCTCCTTTCATTTTCCATTTGGAGTTTCAACTCAACAGTGATTTCCCTCGAGTAATAGACTGTGCATAGACAAGGCACAATAAAGCAAAGAATATTAATAATCTCTGCATATTACTTTTTTATCCATTGAAAGGCAATCGCAATTTTCTGGAGACAAAGAAGGAATCTTTGAACTTTTTTGTTTGAAGACAATATTGCTATTTGAGGCTTTCATTATTGTGCGGTAGAGGGCATTGAGGTTATTTTATATGAGGTATGAGATTTTATGGCAGTACATACTAATAAAGCCCAAGGAAGTTGTGTGAAAAGAAGTGAAAATGAAATTCGCAAAAAGTTTATATTTATCTAGCCAATATTACAAACATATTAAACAATTTTATCACTATCTAATATACACAAATGCGAATTATGAGGACTTGCGAACGAAGAAAACAAGGAAGGAAGAAATGGCCAAATTGATTTTCCTCTCCTTCATTATCATAACTAAAGAATTAGTCAGAGGTTATTTGAACGAACAAATCGTTCCTGAATTTGTTACTTATTAAATTATTAACCCAGATTGTAATAAATAATAGTCATAAGTCAGAGTCTATATTCCTAGAAAGTAGACTGCCTAGTAATTTCATCTAAAATGTGTTGCCACTATTTTCTGGCAGAAAACATTGACGAATTTGAATAAATCTGTTTGCTGACACCAAACAAATTTCGCAAAGGTTAGCTTCAAGATGGGCTAGAGTCAGAAATAATTTTCTGGCGAATCCTACTTAATCTAGTCGAAGTATATCTCAAAATCAATCCGCTATGTATACTTTTACAGGCAGAGGAAAATCTGCTTCAACGTAAAAGCTATTTGCATGTTCGGATTTAGATAATCCAATCTAAAAGGTTTACCTACAGGTGACTGAGTCGCCCCGTTTGGAGTCACTGTACATTGCACAGCCAAAAGTGATTTTAGAGAATCCGATTCCCAGATTAGTTCAGAAGGAGATTTGGGTATACGTTGCCATAACAAGATAAGCTCTACGTTCTAAAATTCAACGTAGAAAGCAGTTTTGGTTATTCAAGTTTAAAAGTAGATTGGAATTAAGAAGATGCTTTAGGCTTGAGCTGAAATGTATCAAGCTTTTTTAAAAAAGTTCAAAGTTCGGCGCTAACTTATTTTCACTCATTGATGAGAGTGATTCTTGTCCTAATAATGGTTAGGTACATGTAGGTGTTGTTTGATAAACACCACATTCATCATCTAATTTTCCATATTTTAATGAAATAGCCTAGCTGCAATAAAGTTAGAGCAGCATGTTTTTACTTACCCCAAAGAATTTTCTTACGTAGATAACTTTAGTGAAAGCGACTTGACCGCCATTGGTAGCCAGACATCTCAAAGCGCCTTCGTAACCACTGTAGTTGTCAGGATAGTCGCAGACATCAGGATGCTCACACATAGCGCATAACTGACTGTACTGACTTTCTAGAAATATACGTAACAACATGATTGTCAAGCCATTTTGGATTAAATATAAAGTGGACAGCCGGAACTCCCAAGGGGCCGAATTTTACAAGGAATATACCTAATTAGCTGGAAACTTACACTCGTATGCTTTTTAATGTTAATCTTTTCCTGGATAAGAATAAGAGTAGAGGATTGATTGTTTCACTTATAATCTCAGTGATTTATGCAAAGAAAACATACCAGACAAATCTCTTGGCATGAAAGCAACGCAAGCACTTGATAAGATTTCGCAAATCCTTTAGTAAGATTAGCGCGAAGCGGCTGTTTTGTTACGTAAGAGAACGTGTTTTATCCTCAAATTCGGCGCTTTTCATTCCTAAGGGTCATGAATAAACCAGCTAAAGTTCAAAGAGAACGATCGGGGTAAAATGCTTTATATTTGCCAAACGTCAACTAAACATTTTTCTGCCCTGAAAAGGCCAAGGTCTGACCGATCCCCGTTTCATTTGTAACCATTAGTTTTCCGTAACAATAACTTCGGAAACATTTATATTTTTTTTGTTGATTTAAGTAAATATGGTTTATGGTTTTCAACTTTATCATGCGAATTAAGTATGTCATTATAACTTTCTGGAAACAAAGGTTTGCATATCTTACTCCAAGCAGAATTGGTTTTTGGATCCGGCGACCATTTGCCAACGATGCAGCTCTTTGAGAAAAATGTTGAGAGAGCTTTTAGCTCGTTCTCTTTGGGTGATATGGAGTGATCGTTCATCTTGGGGAAAACTGCACGCTTCATCAACATTGTCAGCGGAATCTGAAAACGAGTAAAACAGTTGATTAAACGGCTACTTTCAGCGGATAATTTTGTTACAAACTGTAGATTTTTTTTCATTCAATAAACAAAAATCTACATTTTGTACGAGGTTAAAATTGGAAGGTATAAATTGTATGTATGTACCTACATAAGAAGCCAAAGAAAAGTAGGTACACTATTGCAATTATATTGTTACGTGCCTGACGTCACGTTCCTGACTATGCGGGCTTGGGTTACGGGATTGGATGAAATGAAACACTAATACCGGTTTTCAGACTTTCTATTGCACTTAAGTTACAGCGTCCACGGAGTTAAGTTATCGGCGTTCCTCTCCAGAAGAGTCCGGCCGACTGACACAACTTTGCCGTTCACGCTGACTTAACTCACTTAACTGACTGCACTTCACTATTTCACTGCACTTCACTATTTCACTCACTTTTCTTCTTTTTCACTTCTTCCTTTTCTTCCGAATCGCTTTAGACTTAGAACTCAACTGCCAGCGGTGAGCCGCAGTTCCGCTTATATACCCCCGGTCAGGTTCTGGAACATTCAATTTCGTTATTCTTTTTGATCGTCATGCCTCCAGAACCTTCCAATAATTTCGTTATTCATTTTTATTTATTCTCCTTCTCGCTCTTTAATTTTTTATTTCTTTCACACAAATAATTCCAGAAAGTTCGACAAAACTTCTATAAACTAAAAAACTTCATGTTTACGGCGGGACTCGAACTCGGGGTCTCTGTGGTGTAATCCACACGCCTTACCGATTACACCAACTCGTGTTGACAATTCACGACGAAATTTACAATCTCTAGGCAACGTTTGACAACCATCCATTGACGTCATGATGTCAAAGAGTTTGAACCACTTTTCCGTCACACTGCCCCCCTCTTAGATTCGCTCGTCCCGAGCATCGTTGCTGCCGTAATACCTCGCCAACCTGTCTATATGGACAACTTTCAAAGGGCTCCTTGAAGTCTTCCGAATTCTGTAAGTAATGTCATTGATCTTCGTGACTATCTCATAAGGACCTTCCCAACTCGGTTGAAGCTTCGGAGATTTTCCCTTCCTTCTGACTGGATTATGAAGCCAGACCAATGACCCCTCTTCAAACCCAACAGAATTGGCTCGTCGATCATAGCGCGTCTTTGCGCGATCACTAGCTTGAAGACCGGCCTCCCTGATCTGCTCATAAATGTCCAACATTTTTGCCCTTAACTCGTTTATGTAATCGCTAAACTCGGTGCGAGTGTCGCCAGGTGGACAGCCCGATACAAGATCTGCCGGTAATCTCAATTCCCTTCCAAAATTTGCAAATGCAGGCGTCTTTGCGGTACTTTCATGTACAGCAGTCCGATAGGCAAGCAAGAAGAGAGGTATGTAAGTGTCCCAATCTCTCTGATGGCTGTCAACCACCTTTGCTAAGTGTCGCTCCAATGTTTGGTTGAAGCGTTCGACCATTCCATCTGACTGTGGATGATAAGGGGTCGTTCGAGTCTTATGGATTCCCAAAAGTTTACAAGTTTCCTGAAAAACTTGGGATTCAAAATTCCGTCCTTGATCACTGTGCATCTCCAAGGGCACTCCGAATCGGGTGAATACCTCGTTTACCAACTTTGTGGCTACAGTTACTGCCTCTTGATTCGGTATGGCAAAGACCTCCGGCCATTTTGTAAAATAATCCATAACCACTAAAACGTAGCGATTGCCCGAATCAGTGATTGGAAATGGTCCAGCGATGTCTAAGGCTATTCTCTCCCAAGGCATACCAACATTGTAGATTTTCATCGCCCCTCTGCTTCTTGTTTGTGGACCTTTGACAGCTGCACAACTAGTGCATTTCCGGCACCAATCTTCGACGTCATATTTGCAATGCAACCAATAAAACCTCTCCTTGATCTTCACCAAAGTCCTCCTAATTCCCAAATGTCCTCCAGAAGATCCATCATGGAACGCTTTTAATACATCCCTTATTTTTGAACGAGGCACCACCAATTGCAAATGCTCGTCCTTGCCGTTTGTTGATTCCCATTTCCTGCACAGAAGTCCGTTATGCAGCGTAAGGCTTTTCCACTGTGCCCATAAACCTTTCGTTACCGCGCTATATTGGGCGACGTCACTCCAACTTGGCTTGTTACCACTTCGTAGCCACTCCAGTATTGGTTTAATATCTGCATCTCTTTCCTGTTCTAATTTCATCGCATCATCTCCCCATGCCTCGTCAACAGTATCAGTCCTTATCACCTTAAGAAAAGCAGTTTCCTTCTTGGCACAATGCTTGCAATCTTCCACGCATGGGCGTCTCGATAATGCATCTGCGTTGCCATGAATTCTTCCGCCGCGATGTTCGATTTCAAAGTCAAATTCCTGAAGTTGTTCCAACCATCTGGCTACTTGGCCTTCGGGATCCTTAAACTGAAGCAGCCATTTCAAAGCAGCGTGATCAGTTCTGATCAAAAATTTCCGTCCCAGTAAATACTTCTTGAAATGGTGCAGAGTTTTGACTACGGCCAGCAATTCCCTCCTGGTCACGCAATAATTCCTCTCCGGCTTGGATAGTGACTTGCTGAAGTAAGCAATAACCTCCTCCTGCTCACCATCGCGTTGTGAAAGGACACCTCCTATTCCAATATTGCTGGCATCCGTATCAACTACGAATATTCCTTTCGCGCTGGGGTATCCGAGAATTGGTGTGTTACAAAGCCGTTCTTTTAGTTCTTGAAAGGCCTGCTCACAATCCTCGTCCCAGATAAAGGCACGTTTCTCCTCTGTCAATCGATGCAAAGGCTTGGCAATGTCCGAGAATCCTTTCACAAACCGCCGATAATACGAGCACAATCCAAGAAATGCGCGAACTTGCGTTTTGTCTTTAGGTGTTGGCCATTCCTTAACAGCGACAGTCTTGGCTGGATCAGTCTCAATTCCTCTCTCAGAAATAACATGTCCTAGATAATTCACTTCGCGCTTGAAGAAAGAGCATTTCTTTGGACTCAACTTTAAATTAGCTCCACGCAGCTTGTCGAGTACCTTTTCCAATTTCCTAAGATGATCGTCAAAATCCCGTCCAACAATGATGATGTCATCGAGGTAAACTAGGCAGGTTTCGCCCAGCAGTCCCGCCAGCACCTGTTCCATCAAACGCTCAAAGGTTGCCGGTGCATTGCATAATCCAAATGGCATCACCTTAAATTGCCAGAGTCCCTTCCCAGTTGAGAATGCGGTGTTTTCCTTGTCCTTGGGATCCAAATCCACCTGCCAATAGCCGCTTTTCAGATCGAGCGTTGAAAACCATTTCATGCCACTCAGTGTGTCAAGTGTGTCATCGATTCTTGGTAACGGGTAGCTATCCTTCTTGGTTACATCATTCAATCGTCGATAGTCTACGCAAAACCTCGTTGAACCATCTTTCTTCTTGACAAGCACGACAGGTGAACACCAAGGGCTAGAAGAGGGCTCTATCACGTCATTTTTCCTCATATCGTCAATCATTTCTTCAACCTCTTTCTCACGAGCGAATGGTATGCGTCTGGGCCTTTGACGAATTGGCATTGTATCACCTGTGTTTATTTTATGCTTCACCAAACCAGTTCGGCCAATATCACCATCGCTTCTTGAAAACACATCAGAGAATCGAAGAAGTAAATTTCTAGCTTTCATAGTCTCCACTTTTGTCAGACTTTTGTTTTCGTCTAAGATTTTCGTTACAAAGTCAATTCCCGTACTGTCCCTCTTCACAAGATTCTCCGAGCATTTTCTTATCCAGGCCACTTCTTCCAATACGCCCACAGGCTCTCCTTCTTCAATCGTAATTTTTGAATCACTGAAGTTGAATACCGGAATGCGGTTGACATCAGATGACCCCACGACAGTTCTCGCCGGTAGCCATGAGTTTACGTGTTCCGATTTATCAATCACAGCGCACCTTAGAGGTAAACTTCCTTCCCTCCTCCTAGGTAATGCGATTGGTACGAGAGTCTGTGATTTTGGTTCAAGAACAGTTCTTCTTAAACAGCAAACTTTTCCCAGGGTTCCACCCTTCATCGGAATTTCCTCAGTTCCACATAGTAATACTCCAGATTTTAAGTGGATGTTACACTGGTGCCCTTGCAGGAAGTCAAGTCCCAGGATGCAGTCATCCAGAATTTTGGCCACAATAACCTCATGTCGATAAACACGTTCCCCAATTTTGATTGTTACATGCAGTTTTCCACTTATCGGTATGCACTGGCCGGTAGCTGATTTCATTCGTAGGCCAACAATTGGTTTAACGTGTTTCCTGATGTTTTGCCCGAGCAGCCGAACATTTATCACCGTCCTTGAAGCTCCAGTATCTAATGTTAGCTGACTGTTTTTCCCATTTACTTGACCGTCTATCACCAGAGTATTTCCATCGTTAGTTTGCTTGATGTAGATTGTTGGGGTTATTCCACTACCGGCCAGCGCCCACCCCGCAGCCCTGGCTGGATTTAGTTTCCCTGCTGGTCAGAAGTTGAGACCGCCGCGTCCTGGCGGTTCACCTTCTTCGGGCAGTCGCTCCGCATGTGCCCACGCTCTCCGCATCCATAGCACATGAAGTTCCGACGGCGTGGAGGTACCTGCTCCGTTGTCGTCATTTCCCGCAGACGTAAGGTACGGGAGTTGCCACGCACGGCTTCCACTTCCAATGCATGGGCCAGAGCTTCTTTCATGTTCTTGTGATGGCCCAGATGAACAGCAGCTCGTACTTCGGGGTCCCGAATACCGTCAATGAATGCTTGGAGAAGCGTGCCTTCAATCATTGACGGAGTCGACCGGAAAGCTCGACGCACAAGTTTCTCGATTTCCACGGACCATTGCTGTAGGCTCTCATTAGCACGCTGAGTACGCTCTTTTAATTGCGCTCTGTACACGTGCTCGAGGTGGCTGTCTCCAAAACGTGCCTCCAGTGCGTCGAGGAGGGCACTAAAGCTGAGATCCCCACTTGCGCCGATAGCTTCCAGCACTGAGAGCGCTTGATCACG